TAATCCCAGTGATTTTGTACCAACAGCAGCTGTTTTTCCCTCGGGGCTGCCCAGCCCTTCCCAGCACATTCACACATCTCATAGATCACATCTCACACAACTCCTCTATTCATCCTGAAACTGATCCCTCATTTCTGCTCTTCATGTCTTCCCTTCTCACCTGTAACTCATCACCTCTTTACCCATGGCAGTTTGGTTTCTTCTTTCCAAGCCTTTAGAGAAGAATGCTACAAAAAGCTCTGGAAAGAAATCTAACTACACGTGGCCTAGATCCCCAGCATCCCCAGCCCCTGACTCCTTCCAGCAGCAGCACTGGGCTCTAACCCACTGACCAGAGCCTGTCATGCTGGGCAACTATTTACTCCAAAGAGACTTTTAAACATCCTTGATGCAAAAATCACAACAGCTTGGAAGCCAAACCCTGCACAGTAGCTCTGGTAATGTTTGGCAGCTTACATAGAAACAAAAATGGGTAAGAACAACAATTTTGGCTTTGCCCTCAATGTACTATGGTCAGTAATTATAGTCTGCTGTAAGGTGGTGCTTCTCCTGGAGCTCTGTCTCCCCCAGAGCACTGCTACAGGGAATATTTGAGAGTGTCTTTCAGAGAAACCCAAACCACCGTGAATCATAAACACTCCATGATCCAGAGCGATTTGCATTGGAAATGGACATTTTGGATGTTATAAACACTCCATGATCCAGAGCAATTTGCATTGGAAATGGACATTTTGGATGAACTTTAGAACTTACCCCGGGATGTAGTGAGGGCTTGGAATGTAGATGTTGTTGTTCTTGAAGGCTGCCATGGTGACACTGCAGCTCTTGGTGGTTGTGGGGGGAAGGAGAGGCAGTTTGCTGCTGTTGCCAAGGGAACCTCTGATGTCACCACCTGACAGGGTTCCATCTGCAGCACACATCTCACGTTGCTCTGGACACAGCTTTTTGTTCTCCCACCTGGAGATTTTGGATGAGCACAGACATTTTATAGCACTTGTCAGGTTTCCTGAAGGCTCAGAGCCCTGGGGACAGCAGTGCCAGATGTTCTCCAGAAGCAGCCCCAGCACAAATACATGTCCATGGCACAGTTCTTGCCCAACACACACACCTCAGGAGAGCTCAGCTGTGTGTGCCTGGTCAGGCCAGTGCTGAAAGCACACACCAGGCCACAGGACCTGCTTCTGTCAATGAAACCTCAAGGCAGAGGTTCAGGAATTCACCAAGCTGCAGTGGAAGGCTCAACCCTCCTCCTCACTGCCCTCTCAGGCTGGCTGCTTGGGGATGTGATCCTTCCCTGCTTCAAGCAGGATAAAGGTTGTTCCCATTCCAAACATCATATGGTCATGTCTTGTGTGTGGTGGGTTTCTCCCCTTTCCAGCTGAAGGTAGGCCCAGAACACAGAGCTCCTGTTTAGTGAGCAGCCTAGAACCCTACAATGGTTTGGGTTGGAAGGACCTTAAAGCTCATCTCATCCCACTCCCTGCCATGGGCAGGGACACCTTCCACCAGCCCAGGTTGCTCCAAGCCCCATCCAACCTGGCCTGGAACACTCCCAGGGATGGAGCAGCCATAGCTCCCCTGGGAAACCTGTGCCAGTGTCTCACCACCCTCACAGGGAGGAGTTTCTTCCTAATATCTATTCTAAACCTGCTCCCACCACCACATGCCCCTACAAAAAGTCCCTCCCCAGCTTTCCTGGCTTCCCAGAGCCACTGTGCCCAGAATGTCCTCAAGTCAAACAGCCCCCCCATGCCAAACATAGCTATGTGCTAAACATAGCACCAACATCATTTCCACCAACTCCACTACCAGCCACCAGCCTGGTTCCCTGCCAAAGTCCCTCATGGCCTTGAAGAGCTCAGCCATGTGGCTGCAGAACCATTTTAGGGTGTCAAAGCTACTTACCAGAAATCATAGAATATTTTGGGTTTGGAAAGGACCTTTCAAGCCTATGTAGGCCAACCCCCCTGCAGTGAGTAGAGATATCTTCAACTACTTCAGAGCCTTATCCAACCTGACCTTGAACACTTCTAGGTATGGGGCATCCCCCACCTTCCTGGGCAATCTGTTGAACACTTACAGGTTGCTCTCACCTGTTTAGGTGCCTATACTCCACCCAAAATTGTATCTGAGGAGATAAAAGTGCTGCTTTGATTCTTGCCCTTGGTGCCTAGACTGAGAGATCTGGTATTTCCAGGCTTTAGAAAATGTATTTGAGTTTGCCCAAGTACCTGAGCTCTGAGGAGGGGCAAACCTGACCAGCAGCTCCAGGTCTGCAGGGTGGATGGGTCTGCCAGGGGTATGAAGGTTCTTCTCAGAGGTGCACAGTGAAAGACCTAGAGGGAACAGGCATAAGATACAAGGGGAAATCTCACCAGACACAAGGAAAAAGTTCTCCTTTATGGGCACAGAACAGCCCTGGGACAGGGTCAGGGGTGACATCTCCAACCTTGGAGACTTTCAAAGCCCAGAGGCACCCCAGGGGAGCTTTGAAAGTAGCTCAGCTTCTAAAGGGCAGGTTGATAAGGGACCTACACAGGCTCCTCCCAGCCTAAATCATCTGATTTTAATACTGAGATGAAAAAGCTTACTGAAATACAACACCAATACAGTCTGGTCCATGTTCCATCAGCCCAGCACCTTTCCCTCATTTCCAGAACTCCCTCAAAGCTCTTTCTAACTGGCTGGTGGCTGAACCCTCCAAACCTGTAGGTCATACACTTACCAGGGCTACTGAACAATCAGACCGAAATATCAGGGCAGACAGGTAAAAAAGTAGAAATTCATTTTGTCAAGGTTATCATTAGAATTTATTGATATGAGAGAAACTTTGTATGTCAACATGTCAGCGGAGGAACAGCTGTCCTGACGTGACAGAGGCACAGCAGAGCCCATCCAGGTGACACCACAGAGCTCTGGGAGCTCCCTGTGCTGAGTACAGGACACCACACACACACCTGGGGGTTACCTGGGTACATTTTCTGGGACAGGGTAGAAATACTCCAGAAATAAGACACCTGTGTGGTTTTGCCAGGTGAGAGTACCCAACAGGCTGCAGCAGGAACCCACGGGCTCTGACTCCCAGTGCCCAGCACCAGACAGGGAACACAGCTCACCCCAGGCCCCTCCAAAGGGGAATGAAATACCTGTTTGAGGGGGAGATTCATCTGAGCCTGGGCAGTCCTTGCAGGGAGATGAGATGACTTGGGCCCCGTGGCTCCTCAAAGGGGCTCAGAGGAGCAGCTCAGACAGGGACACCCCACACAGCCCCTGGGCTGGGTCTGCAGCAGGACAGGACAGGAGAGCTAGGCACAGCCCTGCTGAGGGAGCTGTGGCTGGGGCACTTCACAAGGGAGTTTGTTCTGCCTGGGGAGCAGACACAGCCTTGCCACGCTCCGTCCTGGCATCTGCCAATTCAGAAGAAGAGTTTTTCTCTCAACACAATTACCCTTGTGTTGTCACTGTGCTGACAGTCCCTCTCAGCAGTGCCCTCTCACAGCACAGACAAGTGAGCTATGCTTGTGGCTATGATAAAAATTATCATCTTTACTGGAAATACATACTATGCTGGATGCTGCTGAAAAGAAAGCCAAGTGCTGAGCTTTCATCTTCTCCCAGTTCATGAAGTATTTGGTTTGGTCCTTGCTAAACAATTAGAGAGGGAACAGCAGAGTATTCCCCAGGCACCTGGTAAATCCACAAAGGATTTATTGTAGAAACAAGCTGAATTCTCTAACTCACTCCAAATGGATTTCAGAGCCCTCTAAAACCCTCTAGAGAATGAGCCATTTGTGACATGACACAAGACACACAAGCCAATCCCAAGTTCAATGGGTGACCAGCTCTGCATGGCATGGAGCACCCAAACCAAAGGGCACACCCACACTGTGGGGACGTGACCGTGGCAGTGAGGGCACCTGCCCAGCTGATAGCACAAACCTGCTGCAGACCTGGAGAGGAACCTCTGACACCACACACACATGTGAATGGACACACATGTGCCAGGGGTGACCCACATGCTGCTCCTGTCCCTCCTGTGTGAGCTGTGACAAGTGACACAGAGGGCTTGGCTCTCAGCCATCAGGTTTCACCAAACCTGAGCTCCCTCTCACACGTAACAGAGATCTCATATTGATGGGTACTTATACAGGATTAATTGCACATCAGTCCATTGTGGCTACAAGTTCATTAGGTTAATAAATCTACATAGTGACAGTAGTACAGTATCAGCTACTTCTCAATACAAACTCCCTACCCTAACCTTAATTTGTAGGTCAGAGGAAGCTCTTATGACCTTCCCATGACCTTTAACATTCATCTTCAAAATTAGTTTTTTCTAGACAAAAAAAAAAATCCAGTGTGGGGAAAATGCACATATATAACCAAAGCAGTGCTTGACAACCACAGGAAAACAGAACATGATCTTGGACTCTTGTTTCAGCATCCTCTGTAGACCCTGGCAGTGTTACTCCCAAAGGGTTGCTCAATGCTCCGTCAGTTCCCAAGTCCCTCAAACCATCTCCCAGCTCCAGATGCTTCTAGTCTCTCACTATTGTCTGTAGCAAGAGCACACAGAAACACTTGCTAATGTGCACAAGACTTCCATCTGATTCAATGGAATAGCTCCAGAAGGCTCAAGTCTTTCCTTCTAGAAGCTGTTCTTGAGTGGTAGAGCTCTCACCGCCCGGCGCCTGCTCTTCCACCCAGGAGAGAGCTCCGAGTCCCTCCAAGTTTTCCTCATTCCTTTTGCCCAAAGGTGTGTGGGTATCCAACAAACCCCCTCTCACAGTATTCCCAGGAAATGATTCAGAAGAGGAGATGATTTTTCAACCAAGTGAGATCCTCTGGTCCTGTGTGTCAGACCATGGCCAATAGAATGAGCAGCTGCCACGGCCCAGTCAGGGGAGGGGAGCAAGGTGGCCTGACCCATCTTCTGTGAGGTACAGGCAAAGAGACCCCAAAGTCACTCTGTGCTCAACAGTTTGTCTCCTTTTCTGCAGTCAAATGTTTGACTCCATTTGCTCTAGCAGGAAGTGATGAATCATGTCAAAGGTGGGACGATCTTTTATGTCCCTGCTCCAGCACTTCAACATCAGGTCGAACACAGGGTTAGGACACAGAGGAGTCTGGGAGAGATAGATCTGAAAGGAAGAGAGTTACAGCTATTTCAGTGGGGTTCTCAAAAAAGAGCTGAGCTTTCACTAACACCAAAAGCCAGTTTCACTCTGGGTTTACAAGACAGCCACCATGCAACATGGGAAGCCCATTCAGCCTGAGCCTGGCAGTGCAGCCTGGACGGAGCCTCGACGCCACCTCAAACAGCACCACGGACACTTTGCCAACTTGTCTGATGAGCTGGTCACAAAACAGGCCTTTGTCCCCCAGAAAACATGAATGCTTCAGAGGGATTTGTCTTCCAAGAGACAGCAAAACACAAACCAAACTGACCACAATAAAATCCAAATGCTTTCGACTCACCGTAGACAACCCATGAGGAATTCTAAGCACCGTGACAGCTTGTTAGCAGAGACAGAAAAAACACCTTTTAGAGCTTATCTACAGCACAGCTTGGCAGAATGATCTTTTTTTCCCCCCACTCATTTCATCTTCTAGGCTCTTCACTAAATCATTAGCATTTGGGAGACAGGGAATAAACATTTTATTGCCCTGAATTCTTTGGTGCTACAGGTGAATTTTGGGAGAACAGGTAAATGTTCTGAACTGGCACTTCACTGGTTTGGGTACTGAGGAGATGGAGTGTTCTGCCTCATCACTGGGATCTGCTGAGGGCAGCAGAGTGGAGTGCATAGTCCTGCCTGGGAGGGAGAGGGGACAGAATGACACAGACAAGCCCTTCAGCAATGGGAGATGGCCAACACCTTCTTGGCATATGTGGAGATACTACAGGGAGTATGTAATCCCTGGGAATAACAACTCCTCCTTCCTCAAGGAGAAGAGCAAGAAGATTGTGTAGGAGAGCCTGGAAAAACTAAGGACAGGGCAGAGTGAAGTGACTTAAAGAAGCACTGGACAGGGCCCAAGAGAGGAAAGAGGGACTCCAAGAGAGGAAAACTGATGGAATGAACCCAGATAAAGGGGAAGAGAGGTGTGACCCATGTGAGAAGATGAGTAGCAGTACAAGCAGAGACTTTTGCAGACAAGGTAAGGCCAGCAGAAAGGCTCTGGAAACATCCACCTGGATGGGACCAGCTCAAGTGAAGGAAGGAGTCATGTTGGCTTCCTTACCTGCCTACCCTGGCTCCGGAAGAACTCTCCTGTGTTCTCAATGACTTGCTCATCCGAGAGGAGGCTGTAAGGCTGTTCCTTGCACAGGACAAACATCTCCCAGAGGGTGACCCCAAATGCCCAGACATCACTGGCTGTGGTGAACTTGCCCTGTGGACAGAAAGGATCTTGTAAGCACAGGTTGTTCACAGTGCACATTCAGCAAAACCCATCTCAGTCTGCACCATGTGCAGCTAAATAGGAGTATGCAGGAGTCACACCTGAGAAAATGCTCCAAAAAGAACCAGCAGAGCAGGTGAACTGCTCTGTGCAATGCACAAAGGGACTGAGGCATGACATGGCTGTTTGAGGGGCAGGAGCAGTGTGTGGGACCCATAGGACAGCTCTAAGGTGCAGTTTTCACTGGGGCAAACCTCTTGCAGCAGGGAGCAGGTTCCAGAGAAAGCCACAGATTTCTGTCCCTCCTGAGCCAGTCTGTGTTTGCAGCAGTAGGGAAATGATCTGGAGTGGGGGCAGACAGCCACTGCCTACCTCCACCCAAACCAGCAGTGCATGCAGAAGAGCCTTTGATGGGGAAGCAGAGCCCTCGGGGTGAGGGCAGAGCCAGGGCAGACTCCAGACTTTGAGAGAAAGGCCCAAGATAATTTTGATCTTTGCACATGTAAGAAGTCAGTGACAGTCTCTGCTTGCTGTCCCTGTTTTGTGTCTCCAAAAATGTGCCCAAACTGGCTGTGTTTGGAACAATGTGTTCCTGGAGAAGCAACAAGACGATTGCTCAGAAAATAACTGAAAACACTTGGGGGCTGGAGGGCCTGTTTGGGCAGCAAACATCCAAGCCTCACATTACCCAGGCTTATCTGGCAACCCTTGCAGTCTGTCAAGGTTTGGAAGATGTTCACACAAGGAAGATGGGAGTGACTTACGGTTTAGATGCAGCTGCAACCAAAAAAGAAGGTGAATTTAGGAAAGCTTAGGCCTGGCAGTCTTTATAGCGGAGGTAACTACAGTTTTTCTGGGTACTCAGAGAGTGTGTTGTAAGGAAGTATCAACAAGTGATCTCTCCAACCAAGGAGACTGCCTCCATTTGGATGTATTTGGGCTGTGGAACAATGTCCTGAGGGGAGACAGCAGGACCCTTAAATACAAAACAACATCCCAAGCTCAAAACCAGGCTCAGCACTTGAGACTTCAGAAGTTTTGTCTCTGCCCCTTTCTCAGCTTCCCAGCTGGGGTAAGAAGCACAGAGAGGCAATTTCCTTACTATTCCAGCAGGAGCAGGAATCCTGAATGCCAGGCACAGAACAGAAATCAGGCCCCAGATGAGGGCTGAGGGCAGGGATGGCATCCAGAGGGACCTGGATAGCTCAAGTGGCCCTTGGGAATGTCATGAGGTTAACAAGACAAAATGCTGGTGCTGCACTTGGGTCAAGGCAACCCCCTGGATCTATCCAGGCTGATGATGAAGGGATGGAGAGCAGCCCTGGGGAGAAGGACTTGGGGGTGCTGGTGGGTGAGAGGCTGGACATGACCCAGCCCAGAGCTCCCTGTGTGCTGTGCTCATCCCACAGTGTGGGCAGCAGGTGAGGGCTGAGACCTCACCTGTAGTGCTGCCTCCAACTCTGGGGCACCAACATCAGAAGGATGTGGAGCTGCTAGAGCAAGTCCAGAGGAGGCCACGGAGATGCTCCAAGGGCTGGAGTATCTCTGCCATGGACCCAGGCTGGGAGAGCTGGGAGTGTTCAGTTTGGGGAAGAAAAGGCTCTAGGGAGACCTTAGAGCCCCTTTCAGTGCCTCAAGGGGCTCCAAGAGAGCTGCAGAGGGACTTGGGACAAGGGCCTGGAGGGACAGGACACAGGGAATGGTTCACACTGCCAGAGGGCAGGGATAGGTGGGATACTGGGAAGAAATTCTTCCCTGTGAGGTGCTGAGGCACTGGCACAGGTTGCCCAGAGCAGCTGTGGCTCCTCCACCCCTGGAAGTGTTGCAGGCCAGGTTGGATGGGGCTTGGAACAACCAGGGCTAGTGGAAGGTGTCCCTGTTCAGGGCAAGAGAGTAGACTAGATGACCTTCAAAGGTCACTTCCAACCCAAACCATTCCATGACCTGTGCTGTATTTACAAGGACACTCTCCTTTCCCAAGATACGAGTTATGTCCAACACAACCCAATGGACCTCCCACCTGGGGCCAGTTGCAGCACACACTGTGATGCTGTAAGCACTGTCACACAGACCTGTGTTACTGTTTCAGGGGCACAAGGAAAATCTGAGGAAGGAAGCCAGAATGGCTCTGTGCAGTCCCTACCAGCAGGATGCTTTCCCAGGCCATCCAGCGTATGGGCAGCACAGCTCTTCCCTGGATCCGGTAGTAATCCCCACTGTAGAGATTCCTGCTCATGCCAAAGTCTGCAATCTTGATGGTGTAGTTGTTCCCCACCAGACAGTTCCGAGTTGCCAGATCTCTGTGCACAAAGTTCAGAGATGCCAAGTACTTCATCCCAGAGGCAATCTGGGTGGCCATGTACAGCAGGTTGGAGTGGCTGCACACAGGGAAAACAGAAAGGAAAATCAGTGCAGTTCCTCACACTCAACTCTTTATTGCATTTGGTGTGTTACAGTGACCTGTCAGAACTAAACTGTCTCATTTCAGGGTAGGAACAGCTTCCCCTGCCAGGCTAGGCCAAACTCCTGAGGTGACTAAGCAGGATCAGACAAGCTGTCCCTGACATTCAGGCCATCACAATATGACATCCTTTAGACTTTTTTTTTCAATATCAAACATTTTCAAAGAGCTCATGCATCAAAGCATTGACGTTTTGCAGAGAGACATGAAAAATTAAGCTGTACAACCTCAGAATCTCATATCACAGGAGCTGCTTGGCCTGGTATTTCAAACACCACCTCTACTGCAGGTTGTATTAACATAAGTGTCACTTCACACTGAAGAGAGCTTACTTTTAAATAAAATATCTCAAACATCACTGAAAATATAAACAGGTGCATTTTCCATCTAATATAATAATATAATTCCTCCATTAGCAAAATGAAATGGCATTAATAGCATCATTCACAGAGTTTGGACCACCAAACTCTCAGTGTTCTCCACACACCGTTACTCTGTGGTCTGTTACCTAAATGACAATACTGTAACTCATCTAGTGATAACAGATGCAATTATCTATTATAATCAGTAGCTAAGCTATTGCTATGATTAATGCACAGGATTCAGAGGCAGCCCCTGACCCCAGCAGAGCCCTGGCAGGAGGGTCAGGGCACCACCCCCCTCCCAGCCCTTCCACATGGTGAACACCACAACCCAGCTGGGTGACACTGTGCCCAGTCCCAGAGTCAGCTCAATGCTCCTCCTGATCTAGGTGTGCCTGTTGTGGCCCCAGAGGAGGAGCTCTGCCACCCACCTGTCCTCTGTTCACCTGGTTGTTGGCTTGTGGCATAGGAGTGGGCAAAGCCTCTAAGATCCCACATTCTCCCTTCACCCTGCTCAGCTGCAGTTCTGTCCCTGCCTGGGGCTGCTGCTCTTCCCATCTGAGCAGCCTTGTCTTTCCTGTCCCACCTGCACCCTGGGAGGGTCCCATCAGCAGCTTCTTTTGGCTCCTGCCCCCCTGCTCAGCCAGCTCCACAGGGTTCCATGCAGAGGGGCAGGACAGGAGATGCCTCTCAGCAGACTTGTCATCGTGCCTGAGGGCCAGCACCCCAAAAATCTTCCTTGGAAAGGCTGACCTGAAGCTGCTGGAGAAGCAGCTGGGGAGGCTCAGTCTGGAGAAAGTAATAGCCAGGTGGGGGTTGGTCTTTTCTCCAGTAACAGGACAAGAGGAAACGGCCTCAAGTTGTGCCAGAGGAGATTTAGGTTGGATATTAGGGAAAATTTCCTCATTGAAATGGTGGTTAGGCATTGGAACACACTGCCCAGGGCAGTGGTGGAGTCACCATCCCTGGAGGGATTTAAAAGACATGTAGATGTGGCACTTGGGGACATGGTTTAGTGGAGGCCTTGGCAGTGCTGGGGAGTGATTGGAGTCCACCTTGGAGGGCTTTTCCAACCTTAATGATTCTGTGATCAATAGACAGCAGAGAGACAAGCAAGGAGATGCATTTCAAACACCAAAGAGCCATAAGGACTGAAGAATGTGTGAGCTCTCTGCAGGAAAGGGCTGCTCACCACGTTTGATGCACCAAACACTGGTCTGGAGAGACAGGTGGGCTGGCTGGACCTTGCCACGTCAGTGAGACATCACAGGCACCAGCAGAGCCAAGCTGCTCACTTTGGCAGGGGATTCATGTCAGTAAACAACCCCTCTACAGACAGCTACCTGAGCTAGCTGGACTGTCTGCCTCTAATGTGACACTGTCTGGCTGGAAGGGACAAAAGAAGAGGCTGAAGGATCAGCAGGAGAGAATGAAAAACTAGAAGTAGAGCCAAGTAATGGAAACTAAGGAATAACAATGTGAGTGACAGTGCTGAAGTCAGATGAGAAGCCAGAGGAGATAAAGAAGAAAGCACATTTTGAGGCTTTAACCAGGGGAAAAAAAAAGCCACAAATCTAAAGAATGATGTTTCAGATGTGCAGAAAGGGCAGGAGACTGGAGAGAGCTGAAATGTGTCTCTTCTCAGACACAAATCCTCTCTCATCCTACAGCTCCTGGCATGTCCTGACTGCAGGATGTCAGGTTAACCCTCCCAACAGGACCACTGACAGGTACTGGCAGTGTCTGGACATGGAAAGACTCAGCCATCTCCTGTCCAGCACATCAGACCTGGCTCTGCCTCACTGCCTCATGCCTGGACTACAAATCCATCTAATCCTTTGGAGAGGAACATGCCAAAGGCCCAGCAGTGCTGCAGCCTCTGATCAGGGCAGGGTTCTTCATCAAGCAGAGTATGTTAGCCCTACACAACTCTCCTCTGAGGAAAGGATTTCTGCAATAGCAGAGATGCTTTTGTCAGATTTAATCCTTCCACTGAGGAGGGAAACAAGTGCCACCACTGACAGAAAATGGTTTTCTTTGCCAAACATTCTCCTCCTGTTAGCTGATGAAATCTTTCCTTAGTGAAGCTCCACACACAGCTCCCCTCATGTAGTATTTTTCAGACATCCAGAGAACATATGAACCTTCTTAGAAGCCTAAGAGACATTCTTCAGTTTCATCCCAAAATTCC